GGCAGGTGCTGGTGCTGCCGCGCGCCGAGTGGGACCGGATCCGGGACAGCGTGGGCCGCGCCGACAGGGAGGCCGCGCGGGCCCAGGCCGAGAGGAGAGAGCGCAGGGCCCTGCACGAGCGGTCCCGGGCCCTCACCAAGCACTGGCCCAACACCGTGGGGGTAAGGGCCGGCGCGCGGGGCTTCTCCCAGTCGGCCGCGCTCGCTCGCTCCCTCCCTCGTGCACGGACAAGGGAGGAGCTCCCGCCAGCGCTGTTAACCCCGCCTGTTGCAGACACACTCCCAGGGCTCCCTCTTCCTCGCTCCGCAGGAGCAGCCAGGGCAGGGAGGCGGCGCGGGGTAGGGGAGCTATGCTCCAGCAGCAACCTCTAACTTGATCCTGTAGCCCTTGGCTGGGGGCAAGAACTTGAGGGGATCTGAACCCTGGCTCCAGCCCTGGGCCTGCGGGCTGCCGCTGGCTGTGGAAGTAGCTGAAGCCAGGATACTTGCTGGTTGCAGCAAACGTATGGTGTTTGAACAGTTGAGCTTCACTTAAGCAAAAGGTTTTGGAAATGATCTGGCTAATTTGACTTGGAACACAAAACATTTTCCAAACTAAAAAAAAGTGCCATGACCACAGCCCCTGTGAAGCTCTGTATGAAGGATTTTAGCAGTGGACCTTACCATGATTACCCCACTCCTGAATTCTCAACCCCTCTAGTGGCACTGCAGGCTAGACCTGGCCCATGAGCCACACATTTGACATCCTTCCCTATAGGGTTCCTGTTTCATGTATTTCCATAGTCAGAATATCACCAGGAGCCTTGCACTTCTAAATTTACCATTACATACCTAATTTCAACTCAAGTAATCACACATTTGGTCTACCTAAATTGACACTAACTTAAATTAGACCCATTTATTATTGTTTCACTGCAATAGTGTTGAAAATGGTGCTATGCATGAGGCAATGCTGCCTGCACCACCAGCTTAGTCTAACGTATACAACCAAAGCCATCCCTAAGGGTGTGCGGGGCCTGACGCATATTTGCCTGTGCTAAGATTACTTCAGAGATTTCTGCACTTCACTGATATCCAAAGGGATCCTCATACATTCTTTATCCAGTGGAGGAAAGCTTACTCTAATTACTTACAGGACCCTCACATAAAACATGCTTTTAAATCTGAATCCAGATTTAAGAACAGGACAGAAGCACAGTATAAAAAGGTTTGACAATTCATTTTAGACACAGAAATAAGCTAACCAAATTCTTGCCAATTTTGTCTTAGCATTCAAGATTTTGCACCAACATTTCTCACTGTTTCCTGTAATAGAGAGTGATTTTATCTGCATCATAGGGCCTGGCACAGAAGAACCTTGAAGCCAGAAAGTTGCGTGAAGAAAGGGAAGAGGAAGAAAAAAAACAGCTTGATTTGGAAGAAGCACAGTTCCAAGCAGCAATGAGAAAAGAGGCCATTGAAGCAGCAAAAATATATCAGTATTATCAGACTGACAGAGTGAAAGGGTTACATGTCTGTAGACAGTTTGTCATCTTTACATTCAAATTGTATTCAATTTCTTTGGCGATAACCACATGTGCAATAAAGTGACCATACAAAATGTCCCCATTCTGTTTTGTAGCAAGCACTTTTACTTACCGAGGTTCTAAGGGAAAGGGAGGCTCAGATTGAATTTAAAAAGAAAAAAACAGACGTTAACAAAAAGAGAGAAGAAGAAATGGAACATGAGCGCGAGAAAGCAATCCTTGAAGAACAAGAAAAGGCACACGAACGCCATATGAAACGACAGGCACTTTGCAGAGACCAGCTGGAACAGTATGTAAAATAGGCCTGTTTCTGACCTGTAATGATTCTTATCTAAAAACTCACTCTCTTTTTCTATGCATACATTTGAATCATGCTGCTAAACCTAGTTCATTTACTGCAAAAATAACACAAAAGAAAGTGAGCTGTTATCTCAGTAGAGATAAAAGACCTTTTATAGCAGCCAGTCTTATCTCCCCAGCACAGCACTGTTCTACTTATATTACCTGACCTACCATGTTATCCAGTCCAGCTTCATTTGGAAAGGAGCTTCCAATACATTCCTTGGGAGACAATTCTACAATGTAACACATTACTTCTAGGAAATTTATACTGTATGGAGACTACAACAAAATTGGGCATTACACAGGAGATCACCAAGTGCATCTTCCATCTGTGTGCTTAAGTACATTTTGATGGAATACAATGCAGTTGTCACAACCAGCCCCAGTCCCACTGTCAAGATGGACAAAGGTCTGTTGAGAGTGGACTCGACTGCTGGATTCCACATACTTTTCATCAGCTTAGGTTATGGTAGTGTCTATTCAGTTCCCTGATACTGCATTAGTGGTATACAAGGCTCTCCTAATCAATGTCCATTGCAAAGTAGTGCATTTAGGTGCCTAGGTCCCCCTTGCCAATTTAGTTTTCAGTGCTTATCTCTTGCCTTGGGCTGACACCAATGCTCAGCCTTAGGCTGAGCTTGGGACTTTAAGATGCACTGCTTCAACTCCTGGACCCCATCACTCTACCTGCCTTCAATTCAAATAATCCAACATTGTTAAAACCTTTAGAAATGTGTAAATGTTACTTAGTACATATGTTTTCTTCCTTGTCCACTATTAATATTTCCATTTATGTTGCAGAATAAAGGAACATAAGCACCAGGCAGAATTAGCTGAGCTTGAGGCAAAAAGAGAAGCTGAAGGCATTCAAAGACTGACCAGGTTATACGAGTTGGATGTTCTGAGAGAAAAGGAAAAGAAGGAGAAAGAAAAACTTGAACACAAGAGGGCTCATCTTGTAAGTAGCAGAAAAGTAGAAAGTCCAAATCTCTCTCTCTTTGGATGCCGACACAAATATGTTTCTCTTTTTAAGATACGACCAGATTTTCAAAGGTGTTCAACTCCCACAAATTCCAGTGAAGTCACAGTTTTGCCACAGTAACAACGCCTACTTTGCCATTTATGTTACTCTCTTCAGTACCTATTCTCTAGGTGGGGCTTCCCTTTTAACAACAGACCCATTAATTTTCACTGAAACAGCAACATGATAGTTGCTAAGACTGTGCATGTTCCTTAGTAAGAATTATGCTGCACATAACAAGGAGAATATTTCCAATTTTAAAACTTCCATTAAACTGAGCTGTTCTAATTTCCTTTAATGGGAAAGAAAAATGGCATCAAGTTGTCAGTATAACTACATTATTTTATTTTATTCCCTTTCATAATGAGAGTCACTCACGAATAGGAACTATATATCCCACATGTTGGCTTGATGTCCAGTAGCCTCTTGTTCTGTCCTTCAGGGAGCTCAGATCTAGAAATTCGCATACAGGAAAATATTACTCATACTTTTGCAGCAATTCATTGTAGGTTGGCCATAATTTAAGGCAGTTTATTAAAGCGAGAACAATATTGTTCTTCTAGATCAGTGGTTACCAACCTTTTTTTGGTGCTATTTGCTGGGAGCAGAGTGGGACAGTGGCGGCCCGAGTTCAGGAGAGTTCCCGGCACATAGCGTGGCTCGTCTTCTGTGTGCGGCACCACCAGCATTGCCCCAAGGTTGGAACCACTGTTCCAGATCCTTGCCTTCCCCCTTGTACAAGCCTAGGGAACTTACATATTATGGTGTAAATCTCTGCCCAATTGTCTTTTCAATTCCTTCTTTTCAAAGACTTAGGTGCCCATCTTTAGTAAATAACAGGACATTTTTGTTTAAAAAGGAGTACATTGCTGACCAGCATGTTCTTAAAGCTGTAAAGGAGCAAAAAGAGGAGGAGGAAAATGATAAAATTAGAGCTCATTTTAAAGCAAAACAAACTTTGGCCAAGTTGAGACGAGAAAAAGAAGCTGAAATGAACAGGTGGGTGCAATGTTAGATAAAGCACAGATTCACAATTGAGTCTTTGTCATGCTATTTCCAGTATTTCCACACTAATATCCAAAGTGAAGCCAAAAAAATCTTATAGTAATAGGTAGCCTAGCCACAATGCTTCTGGATAGTAAAACTCTATTTTGAAAAAATAAAAGAGGAAAGTATTTGAGAGGAATTATTTTCTCACCTTTTGCATCTTCTGTAATCAGAGATACTGGGAGTGTTCTCTGGGATCTTGCTGTTCTTTTAAAATACCACATCAGCACGTTAGAGTCTTTTCATCTCATCTCCAAACTGTCCAAATTGTGATGGAGAATGTTATGGTGATGTGCGTATGATTTCCTTGAAGGAGAAAGACAAGGGAAGAAAAAGACCTGATTACTTAATCTGACATTTATATTAATCAATCAGGGTATAATGAGATACTTGTAAGAAAGCCAGGCTTGTCTGTGTAACATTGACACGTTACATTAATTGCTGTTGTGCTACAGGCTAATGCAGGAACGTCAGGATAATATTATTAACCGTCTGGCTGCACAGATGAAACAGACATTTCAGGAGGAAGATGAACGTGTTGCTAGAGCTGTTGCAGAGAAAGAAGCTGCGTGGGAAGAACAACTCAAAGAAAAAGAGGAAAAACATATAGCCGAATTGAAATCAATTGCAGAGTACAGAGCTGCTGTCGTAAGAATTCTCTCAAAGAAAAAGTTTAATGGCACAGACATTCTTCTTAGAAGGATTTTTGGAAACAGCAGTATTTTTTTTTGTATTTTTAGTTTTCAGTACCTTTCCTTTTCAGTGAACCCCTCATTTTTTAACACTTTCAACTAATATACATCATCATGTACCAATATACATTATTTTTTAAGCAAGCTGTAGGTGATGGTGCTTTATAAAGAGTCATGGGAAGGCTGTATTATCCTTGTCAATTATGCAACCATTTTAAATTTCAGTATCCATTATTTCAAGCAGCTGGGGAGGTGGGAGGGGTTTTTTTTAGTTGTAGTGTGCCTAACATACTCTTGGCACTTTTTAGAAGAAAAATATAGCTCTTCTGTAATGGAACCTCTCCTGCTATCCTGCAGGGTCAAGAGCAAGTGGTAAATACACAGCACTTTCCTTACATGAGAAAGGCCTTTCTTTGCCTGAGGAAGGCAAGGACCTTTAAAGACTGATAGGCTTCCATCATATTTAATGAGGGTGAGCAGGGTCTTTGAATAATCTGGCCTCTCTTGTTCCTGTAACTTCAATTTGGAGATTCCTTCATGCATACCCAAGTCTTGCATTCATTCTTGTTCCAATCACTCTCCCAAACACACCCCTATCACTGCCACATAGAAAGTATAACGTTTTAAGAGCTGTACCCAGGGAACCACTCTCTTTACAGCTCAGGGGTAGAAACCCAAAGCAGCAGTAACTTAATTAGGTATGGGTGAGTGGGGCATGAGCCCCAGGTGCTGATGTAAAGTGGAGATGTCAAGAATGGTGGCCCATGCTTCAGCTCCATCAGCCATAAGACTCCCTGGCACTTAGCCTCCACTCTTTGGGATCTCTGCTTTTGCCCTCGGCATCAAAATGTGTAGTTAAGCGTCTCTCAAGCAGAGTTTATTCTAGGCAAGGACAGAGAATCTGTAAATTTGGATAGAGTCCACTAAAAGAGGCAGATTTTGGCATGGGCATGACACAGTTATGGCCTTTTATTGGGTGACTTTTTATCATTGTTAATCAGCTTAAGTGCTAAAGTTCTTGGGTATGTAACTTCTGGACAGTGGAAATTTCACAACAAAGTAATAAGGCTTGTGTGCGTCACCAGCCAAATATAATTTTTATACTCTTAGGGCAGGTTTCTAGATTATTTCTCCTATTCATTTCTGTACAGCCAAATTCACCTTCTGTTTGGGACTTTATAACATTGTTGCTGGAACACCAATAGTTCCTTACATGGAAACATAATATTGGGAAAGTAATGTATTTTTACTGTCTTGCAAAGGGATTCAGCATTTAGGTGTAAAGGGATTTTGCCAGCAGTAGTTAGTTTTCTGTGGCCCACCAGTAAGTGCTTCATGGGCCAGCTTGAAAACTGTTTTGTAAATGAGCGTTTTAAGAGAACAGTATGAGATGTTTCTGGGCAATTCTTTCTTACTCTTTGACTGCAGACAGGTAGGCAAAGACACATGGCTAATCAGTTACTAGCTTTGACATCAAAGGAAAATGAATGTAGGGGTGTCAAATTAGTTTTTGAAAGCCTCAGCTAATAATTTTGTAGTTGGTAGGGTAGGAAGGGACCTGAGCAGATCATCAAGTCCGACTCCCTGCCATGGCAGGAAAAGGTACTGGGGTCAAACGACCCCAGCAAGGTGTTCACCTAGCCTCCTCTTAAAGACCCCCAGGGTAGGAGCCAGCACCACTTCGTTTGGAAGTTGGTTCCAGATCCTAGCCACTCTGACA